GTTCCCGTGTAAAGGGTAAAAACGCAAAAGTCTGCTTGACAGTGAAGGTTGTACGCAGGCGCGTGGACTTGGTGTTGTTGTAGTATGCACTCCTAGCCACCTGGAGTGCATACTACATTGAATTTCACACACTTTTGCGTCACCATTTGCACACGAATTTCCCACACAAAACGATCGTCTAAACGCAGAATAAAAAGTGATGACGCAACGCCACTTTTGCGTTTTCTATTCAGAATCGTTTCCGTGTAAACATAGCCTTAATTTACATGCAATTACCATGCAATTAACTGAATGTAGACATTGCATTCAGTTCATGTTTTTCTTTCAAATGGTATCTTCATAATAAGTACTCTTTTTTAAAAGCATGTGAAATTAAACTTTTCTCCTAACTTAAAAAATAAAACAGCCTTGTCACAGTAAACAAAGTGATCAGCAATTCTGAACTCTTGTATGATGTGTTCAGCAGACCAACACGGTGAAGCCCATGTCCCACATCCTGCCTGTGAGACAGCTAATTAGAGTCGAGGGTCTTTGTTGCGGGAGTTAATCGGCAGCACACTGTTTTATCAGCTGTCTATAATTGGGATATGATCATGTGGTGGGTTTATTTAGTTGTAATGAGGCGGAAAGGTGAGCACCATATTTACCCAGAATCAGACCATAGCTAGCATGATCCCTAGAGGGACAAGCTCTGTTGGGAAAGTCATTCGCACGGCAGTTGAGAGTGGCTTAGGGAGGCCACGGAAGTCATTTGTAGTAAGATTGAGATTGAGCCTGTTTGGTCTTGTCTGGCGCTTGCTTCCCTCTCACTCCCAACTCAACCCCAACCCCAACCCCCTTCTTCCCTTCCTGCATCCCAACGTCATGCCGCACTTGCTGGATGTGACTGATTGATTTCATTTCAGTCTCTTGGCACAGGAGAGCCGTGTTAAGGAAGTGTCTGTTTCTCACTGTTAGCTGAATGACCGGGACAAACAAGCAAAACAGGCTTTCAGAATGAGTGCAGCTCCATCGTCGTATACTGACCAGCATACAAATTTTCACAAATGGTACAAAATACCATACCGTGAAGATAACAGGTCGCCACGGAGCCTAGCAGAGTAGATACAGCTGACCGCTCCCTCCAGCCCCTGAACTGTTTTTTCACTCAATCCCCATATGGTGGGTGGCAAATGTGCTGTATATACACCATGTTCAGAGCAGATGTGTGTGGCCGCCCCCTTCCCACAAAACTGGCCGCCGTGTCACGAGAAATGTTGTTGCTTTTCTGTTCATCCACAGTAGTGTCTGTTTTTCTTGCACTGTGTGGGGTTGGACCATTCTCAGGTCTTCAGCCCCAATAAAGTAGGTTTAAAATGCTGACCCCTAACAGTCATGTGTTTTCAAGAGAGTTAGGTGGATGTTGTCTTTAAACAAACAGGCCAGGCTATGTGAATGCATCCCTCTGAAGGAACTAGGCAATTATACGGATCGTATTGCCCCGGGATGTTTTGAAAATGTGACTTTGAAAAGGAGGCTTTGTGGACGGCAGTTTGACCTCTGACCTCACCGAGGGATCTCATTTCAAAGTCCGATGCTTATTTTTAGGTTCCACTAGAGTGAGCTTTAACATCAGTGACCTTTGACCCCTGTGTGAACTTGACAACACTGCTTATTAGTGTTGTTCGAAATTCAGAATCTAAAGGGAACCTGTTATGCTTTTTTTTATTTCACCTTTCCATTAGTGTTTAATATCGATGTTTGTGCATGTAAATGATCTGCAGATTTGCAAAGCACAAGGTCCACACCAAAGGAAGTACATTTTTCCATCAGGAAACACTTGCCTGAAACGTGTAGTCCTGCCATTATTAGCTTAGCTACGTTGCCATTTTACATATTTGCACAATCATTACGCAATGACTTCTTGTCATTAAACAATCATTTCTTACACAATCAATTCAACTATAATTCTTGTTCATTGGTTCAATACGCTGAACAGCCAATCAGAGTGATCTCTCTCAAAGACTGGCCAACACTGGTTCAACATGGTCAATCAGTCAAAAAGCCACCAACAGGGTCTAGTGACTTTTTAACTTTTTTTAATACAAACTAATACAAACAAAAAAAAGACTGAAGGCAACATTCTGAGTCTATCTTGACAGTCTTTCTGTGTTAAATTGATTTTGACTTTATTTTCATGGTCCCTTTAACACATTCTGTTGACTAGAAGTAGCTTTGCACCTATACGTCTACTAACTCTCATTAGAGTGTTAGTATTAGTAGACTGGTAGGGTTAGGGTTCAAATAAGTTGACGTGTAGTTGCAAAGTTACTTCTACTCAGAAGAATGTCTGTTGGAGGACCGCACACAGTAAAGAGTCAGAAGATATTTAAGCAGACAGTCTTAACACTCAAATGAGAGTTATTTGACATGTAGTTGCAAAGTTACTTATAGTCAACAGAATATTCAAAAGGAACCATCAAAATAAAGTGTTACCCAATTTAGTTTTAATTTTACTTGTGCTTCATTCAAGCTGCAGTACAGAATTTTGGCCTCTCTATCGTCATTCTGTGGTAAAATTGCATGACTACAAAGCAGTCATATGTTCTTCGATACTGCTTTTTGTTTGAGGAAGTGCAACCAGTGATCATATCAGAGCTGGTCTGTATATAGAAGCTATCTGTGTTTACAGACACAACCTAAACTGGTAACACTTCATAATAACTACACGCTAATAATCATTAGTTAAGCATGAGTAAACCATTAATTCATCATTCATAAAGCATTAATAGACATTAATAAGCAGTTCATAAATACAGCTATAAATGCTTTCTTCTTGATTTAAAAGCATATCTATAATTTGTTTAATAATTGTATTTTCATCCTTTATTAATGATCAATTTATCATTTCTAAATGAAGAATTGCATTTTTTATGAGCCAGTTATTTAAGAGTTTTCAGTGGTTCATACGATTACTTAGAGGGAGTGAGTAAATGATTAATAAACTATTTAAATGTACATTCATACATCTTATTATTCAGACATATAGTGATGGTAACTTAATGTGTTAATAAATGCTTTATTAACATGTATTAATGCTGTAATTAAGGGTTAATTTGGGTAGTTATAAAGCATTTAGTAGTGGTCAGTTAACTATGTTCGTGAGCTCATCTAAAGTGAGGACTAGTCATGCCTTGTAAAGCATTTTTAAAGGCTGTTAAATATTTCTATGTTCTGTATCACTGCGTTGTGTTTGTTACATTTTACTGTTTAGAAGATTGACAAGGCTTTAAATCACCTTTATAAATGCTTTACAAAGCATGAATAGTCCTCACTTTAGATTAGCTCACAAAAATAGTTAACTGACCACTACTAAATGCTTTATAACTATGTATTTACTACATTTACTTACACTTTCTAAGTGATCTTATGAATGACTGACAACTCTTAAACAACTGGTTTGTAAATAATGCAATTCTTCATTTAGAAATTATTAATTGATCATTAACAAAGTATGAAAATACAATCATTAAACACATTATAGATATGCTTATAAATCAAGAAAAAAGCATGTATAGCTATATTTATAAACTGCATATTAATGTCTATTAATGTTTTATAAATGATGAATTAACTGTTTACTCATGCTTAACTAATGATTGATAGTGTGCAGTTATTATAAAGTGTTACCCATAAACTTGCAAGAACAAATGACGCATAAACCTGGAATTTGCCACCAAATCAGTCCCAATTGCTCCAAATTTACATCATTATTATATACATATAGGCCGAGATTTAGTAACATCTCGCACCAGTGCAAACCCTCTTTTTTTTGTGTTAAAAAAACTACTGTCAGGATTTACTGAAGACACACAGTGAAAAATTACCACTGATATGGCGTGGACAGGGTTTTTTTTTGCGGCTGACCTTATTGCATGTGCATTTGTAGGAGTTTCCCGTTCAGATGCAAAATTTATCGGAGTAGAGTATTTTAAATGAATCCTTCAAGGTGATTTACAAAGGTTTGGGGTAGTCAATTTATTGGTATTTGCGCCATTATTTATTTACCGCCCAAAAAAGGATGATTTAAACCAGATGTTAATTTGCATAACTTTCCACTCCCATCAATGCTTTTTTGGAATTGCGCTCTCACTCAAATTTTTTATGTACTCGATCAACTAGGGTCTAGTTCCTATTTGGTGCCTCAATTGAAATTTAAAAAACTGAAATTTGACTGACACCTGAAAAACTGAAACTGGAATATGAATTTAAAAAATGAATTCAAATGGATTGAATTTTAAAAGGTGCACAACCCTGCTGTTTATGTAGCGCAAGCACCAATGTCATGGATTTGATTCTCAGGCAAATACATGAACTGATAAAAAATATAAACCAACCTTGAATTTACTGCTAGTTGCTTTGAGTAAAATCATCTGCCAAATGCAATATCTAACATTCACAAATGTTTGTCCTGGCCAGTTTAGATTAAGTTTGCTGTTTTTGTCTCTATGATATGCAAATGAACAAAACAGGGAAAAACAACTTAAGACTCATTGTGTGGTCAGACCCTGCCATTCAGTCCTCTTCCAGTTTCCAAATCAACCTGGCGTACTGCCTTTAGCCAGGACAGGAATTGGGTGGAAATGGACTTCCTGTCAGGATGTGGCGCGTGAGAGCGCAGCACGGAGTACAATCAGACGCTGCGTTCTCACCCAGACTACAGCACCTGTGCTTCCGCTACGCTTCACACGCAGGAGGTCTGACCGAGGCCCTCCAGACCCCTCTCAGAATTGTTTCCTTTTTTTACACACAGTGCTGACTGATGTTCTCCTGACTATTCTTTGATGCTTTGTGTCCAACTCAAGTTTGTTTTCACATGTCAGATAATGTCTGTATGCTTCGTCATTTTAGATGTGTCAATAACTATGGCGTTTTCCCTGTGGAATGATCATATTATCACTGTTGTTGAAATTTAGTTTTACATAAACCAACATCCTCTGTGGATTTGTTGTGCGTTGCAGACGTTTGGCATTGCCGAGATGAAAAACAGAACTTCATTCAAAGTTTCGATGCTCAGTTGGTGCGAGAGGAGAAGAGATTGGAAGTTGAAGAGGAGCTCAGAGTTCAGGTGGGAGCAGAGCTGTCATCAGGGGGGAATCAGGGTCATGTGATGAAGGGGTCCCGTAAACACATCTTTAACCTGCCAATAATATGCGAAGTGGGGCCCTAGGCTTCATAATTTTGTCTCGGACCCTCGTGAATTCAAATCCTGGTTGGGAGTAAAGAAATCATCACTCTTTCTGCAGTGCACTACATTTTCTTAAAGTCATAACACTCTATGAAAACAAAACACTTAAGCTCTTTCGCTTTCCTTGTGGCTTCAATTCATTCCATCACATGTTTTTCTTCTTTCTCCATCTATGTTTTTATATTTGTCTCAGGTGGACGAGCTGATGAGGCAGGAACTGAAGAAACCTTAAACTGGTGGTGGACA